CTGGGATTACAGGCTTGAGCCACCGCGCCCGGCATTATTTATTTATTTTTAAATAGAGATGGGGTTTCACCGTGTTAGCCAGGATGGTCTTGATCTCCTGACCTCATGATCCACCCATCTCCACCTCCCAGAGTGCTGGGATTACAGCTGTGAGCCACTGTGTCTGGCCAATTTTTTGTATTTTTAGTAGAGATGGGGTTTCACTGTGTTAGCCAGAATGGTCTCGATCTCCTGACCTTGTGATCTGCCCACCTCAGCCTCCCAAAGTGCTGGGACTACAGGCGTGAGCCATAGTGCCTGCCAGTTTTTTTATTTTTATAGAGACGTGATCTCCCTATGTTGTCCAGGCTGGTGTTGAACTGCTGGGCTCAAGCCATCCTCCTGCCTAGACTTCCCAAAGTGCTGAGATTACAGGTGTGAGCCATCATGCCTGGCCACAGTTTTATATGAGGAACTTGGGCATCTGATGTTTTTGGTATTTGTGGGGTGTCCTGGGGCCAGTACCCATGGATACTGAGGGATGACAGTATTATAATTATGTGAGTGTGTATATGTGTGTATATAAATTTCGGAATTTATCATAACAAAGTTCATTGGGGTGGTTAGGCGAGATCAGGGCATCCCGGAAACACCAGGCTGGTTACATTTGGCCTAGTCATACAATTTCCCCAGTGATACACCATTTTCTATGTGTATTTTGATGTATAAAATGTTGAGGACTACTGATTTATAATTTTTCAATGAAAAAAGATTGAGCGTTAATGACACTGAATATATGAAGAGATATTCAGCAGAATTAAAAGCAGTTGTAATGACCTGAACAAAATTCTTTCATTTAGTACCTGGCTTAGTGTAGTTGCTTATTTGTAAATTACAGTCTTTCTAATTAAAAAAGGGAGATGAAATTTAGTTTTGTAGCATACTATTATGTACTATAGGGATTTTACATTCTTGTTTTCTAGCAAATGTCCTGGAAACACTTCGAGGTGATGGAAATGTTTTAATAGCAGTGGACACGGCAGGCAGAGTTTTGGAACTTGCTCAACTTCTGGATCAGATTTGGAGAACTAAAGATGCAGGACTGGGTGTTTACTCATTGGCACTCCTGAATAACGTCAGTTATAATGTGGTGGAGTTTTCTAAGTCCCAGGTTTGTTTTCATGTTATCACTTGTAATAAAGAAGTTTGGGACAGTGATTGGGTCCCTGGAAGTGAGTGTCTTAATTGTTTTTTGGATTTTATTTTTCTCTTGAAGAGATTGTTAATAATGGTGATAACTTGCCCTTAATCATTTACTGTTCTGTGTGCTTTAAATGTATTATTTCATTTAATCCTTATATATTCTGTTAAGTAGTTTTTGTTTTTGTCCCTGTTTTAAAGATTAGGCAAATTGCTTCTCTTCTAACTCTTAGTATCTCAATCTGTAAAATGGGGACAAAAATAGAACCTACCTCATAGCATATACATGTTAGAATTCATTTTTCTTTCTTTTAAATAAGCTCTTTGCCTTGAAGTAGCAGTCTCTGGGAGTAAGGTTTTCACTTAGAACATATACCTTGCCTTTTCAAAAAGATTTAAGGCAATTTATGCGTGAAATATAATGCAAAATTGGTTTTTGAGGGTATGAAAACTAGGGTGGGAGAATCTAAAGGGAAATTGAAGCAGAAAATAAGCTTCTCATCAAAACAGTACAAATTTAAGCAAACAGTGGGGGTAAAAGATAGAACTTAAGTTCCTTGACTATTAGATAATATATTGAAGTTATAATATAGTATTTATAATTATTGTCATCTTTCCCCCCATATTAGGTAGAATGGATGAGTGATAAATTGATGAGATGTTTTGAAGACAAAAGAAATAATCCGTTTCAGTTTCGCCATCTCTCTTTATGTCATGGTCTTTCCGACTTGGCCCGGGTACCTAGCCCTAAAGTTGTACTTGCCAGCCAACCTGACCTGGAATGTGGATTTTCAAGGGATCTCTTTATTCAGTGGTGTCAGGACCCTAAAAACTCAATCATCCTAACTTACAGAACTACTCCTGGCACTTTAGCACGTTTCCTAATTGATAACCCTTCTGAAAAAATTACAGAAATAGAGGTAAGCACTTGCATGTGAACTTTATTTTAAAACTGTTTGGGGGATACATTATGCATGATGTGTAAAAAATAGTGACCAAAAATAAAACTTAAAGTTGTTTTAGGATTTTTATCAGAATTACTCTTGAGAGCCAGGAGTGGTGGTGTGTGCTGTAGTACCAACTACTCAGGAGGCTGAGTTGGAAGGATCACTTGAGCCCAGGAATTTGAGGTCATCCTGGGCAACATGGCAAGACCCACCACCCCATCTCTAAAAAAAAAAATTACTGTAGAAGAGAACCTTTAATAGCACAAATTTCAGAGCTCCTTAACTGGAGATTCTCATTCTTCTTTTTTTGAGATGGGGTCTTGCTTTGTTACCTAGTCTAGAGTGCAGTGGTGCTATCATAGATTCATGCAGCCTCAAACTCCTGGGCTTAAAGGATCCTCCTTCGTCAGCCTCCCAAGTAGATGGGACTACAGACATGTGCCACCATGTCTGGCATTTTTTTTTTTTTTGAAATGGAGCCTTGCTCTGTCGCCAGGCTGGAGTGCAGTGGTGTGATCTCGGCTCAATACAGCCTCTGCCCCCAGGTTCAAGTGATTCTCCTGCCTCAGCCTCCCGAGTTCAAGCGATTCTCATGCCTCAGCCTCCTGGGACTACAGGCATGTGCCACCATGCCTGGCTAATTTTTGTATTTTTAGGAGAGACGGGGTTTCATATTTTTTGTATAGAGACGTTGTCGTCTTATGTTGCCGTGAGTGGTCTCAAAAGAAGCTCTCATTCTTAAACTCTTCTTTGGTACCCTCTAGTTTACCCAGAGGGTAAGCATATACAATGTTTTCTCAATCTCTGAAAGGTTCCTTTCCTGTTTCTTGCTTAATTTGAATCAGACTGTTTCCTAAAGACGTTCTTTATCCTGTAGCTCCCTGAGGTAAGTACTCTTTCTATGTTTCATGTACTTTGAGTGAAGTTCTTGTCTTCCTTGTTCTGTATTGCAGCTTCCTAGCTATTTATCTTCCATTTGCAGTTTTTGCCTTCAGACCTGCTGGTATGCTGGCCCCCTCCTTGTTTCTGACATTTAATGATCTCTTGGTCATTCTGTTACTCATTGGTGACATTTAACCCTGACTGACAGTATTCCTGTCCACTGGTATTCAGGACTTCATTCTCATTGACTTTAGCATTCATGTGTACAATCTGTCCAATTCTCAGTTATGTGACACCCTATTTCTTAGTCTTTTCCTTCATCTTACCTCATTCCTGCTATCATGTTGTCTGCTCCTGTGGTTATACCTGAAATCTTCTTATGGCTAAACAGTCTCCAGATCTCCACCTCGAGCATCCCATTCTGACTTTCCCTGTTATTCCCATGACAACAACTTTTCGGTTCCATTGGGACTTTCAGTTCATGAACCTCACCTTTTACTGTCCATCATCCTTCCAGCCTTAAAGTCAGTAGTCCATAATTAATCATAATTTTGCAAATACCTGTAACTCTCTTACACTTTTATTTTAGTCATCTGGAAAGGCTTTGACCTCAGTTAAACCATTTGCTTGGTTTGTGCCTGTACTTAGTAGCTTTATGTTACTGAAGTTAAGCACTGTGGTATATACAGATTTGTTTTCACATTCATGACTTCACATCTCAAAAGGGGACCCTACACCAGTGCTCAGCATTCGGTAGGATGTTCCCTTTCTCATGGTTAGGCAATTTTATATATTCTTTCTCCCCAAACATCCCCACAGCTCATTCTTTGCCTTCATTCATAGCACATGATCTTGTCTCAAACTTAACATAGAAGTCGAAGCAGTGAGTCAGGAATTCCTTCATCTTTCCACCACTAAGTTTACTAACTTGATTCTGCATCTGCATTTGCTGCCTTATCTCCTGTTATAGGAACAAGACAATTAGCTGAATGACCAATATACCCAAAGATCATTTGCTTAATAACCAGCCCAACAAATCTATCGATTTTTTAAAACTAGTATATCATTAAAGTTTGTAGCAATTGATATAATAGGATGGTTAATAACTGCCAGAGTTGTGCAAAGATTTAGGTGACTAAACCTTAACATAAAGCTTTAACATAAAGCCAGCATCATAAAGCTGCTTCTCATTTTGTTTTTGGAGCACTCTTTTTTTTTTTTTTTTTTTTTTTTTTAGACAGAGTCTCACTTTGTTGCCCAGGCTGGAGTGCAATGGCACGATCTTGGTTCATGCTGCAGCCTCCATCTCCAGGGTTCAAGCAATTCTCCTGCCTCATCCTCCCCAGTAGCTGGGATTACAGGTGCCCGCCATGACGCCCATCTAATTTCTGAATTTTTTCTTTTTTTAGTGGAGACAGGGTTTTCATCATTTCGGCCAGGCTGGTCTTAAACTTCTGACCTCAAGTGATCCACCCACCTTGACCTCCCAAAGTGCTGGGATTACAGGTGTAAGCCACTGTCCCCAGCTGTAACACTCATTTAATTATTTAATTAGAGACAGATTCTCACCCTGTCACCCAGGCTAGAGTGCAGTGATGCCATCATAGCTCACTGTAACCTCAAACTCTTAGGCTCAAGCTGTCCCTGCCCCCACCCCCGCCTCATTCCACTTTCCAAAATGCTGGGATTATACGTGAACCACCACACCTGGCCCTTAGCAGTCATTTTAAGGAAGGTTTAGTTTGTTAAAAGCTATGTGGTAGGGTTATCTGTCTTCCAACTCTACTTAAGAAAAGCATAACATCAGTATCTAAAATCTGAGATACATGTACTGTAATTACAGAATTGTCGAGCAAGGATTTTGAGCAAGTATAGAAAAGTAAAATGGTGTCTTTGGGGTTATTTAGTAGCTTAGAAATACAAAGTTAAAAGAACTCAAGTACTTGAAACGATTTCATCAGACATGAAATGCTGAATTTGAAAATTTTAATTACTAGAAATTCAGTTAGGTCTAATAAACCATTTGCGGAATTAGTAAAAGAAAAATGATTTAAGTTTGGAAAAAAGTAGGAAATGATGTTCAGAAGCATGCTAAGGAAATGAGAAACAGCCAAAACATCAAGTGTTAAGTTTTTGATCTTTTTAATAACTAATGCTGATGCTCAGGGACCTTTTCTTGCTCACTTTCTCAGCGATATTTCTTTTACAGTTATCCCTCCTGTCTTCATTATCTATCAGTTTTTCCCTCTACTTGATACATCCAAAACAATTTTTACTCTTTTCCTACTCCCAGTACTGTTCTTTTGTCTTAGAGAATGCAGCACTTCCCACATATTCAAGCCAAAAATCTGGAAGTTTAAAAAATGTTCACTCAAGTATAATATATACTGAAATGTATGTTAAGTGTATAGCATGATGAATTTTCACAAATTGAATATACCTGTCTAGGCTGTACCCTGATTAAGAAATAGAATATTTCTGTAGCATGTTGGGCAGAGCCAACTAAGATAAAAAACAGAAATGATAAAAAAGAAATAGGATATCACCAGCACCCCACAAACCCCCCTCTGACCCTCCTTCCCTCCCCTGAAAGGGCAAATACTGTCTTGACTTGTAATACACAGATTATTACAACTTATTCTTTCATTTTTCTTTAAACTTCACAATCCATCTGCAAATCCTCAGACATATTCTAAATTTGTCAGCTCCTCTCTCTCCACCATAGTTATCCTAGCCCATGCTAAATGGACTTGCCTGGACTTATGCAGTAGTTTCCTAACTGGCTTTTCTATTTCCACATTTTTTGTTTGTTTATTTTTTGAGACAGGGTCTCACTCTGTCACCCAGGCTGGAGTGCAGTGGCGTGATCATGACTCACTGCGGCTTTGCCCACCTGGGCTCAAACTGTCCTTCCACCTCAGCTCCTGAGCAGGCACTACAGGCACACACTACCATGGCCAGCTAATTTCAAAATTTCTTGTAGAGATTGAGTCACATTATGTTTCCTAAGCTGATGTGTTTTTACTTTTTTACTCCCTTAATCTTTTCTTCTCACAGCAAATGAAGAGATTTTTTTTTTTTTTTTTAGACAGTTATTTGAAACAGAATTGACCTCAATTTCTCCTTTAATTCATGTTATGGAAAGGCAGTTGTTTTTTTTTTTTTGGTGGTGAAAAACACATACATAGCCAAGTGTGGTGGTGTGTACCTGTAATCCCAGCTACTTGGGAGGCTGAGGCAGGAGAATCACTTGAATCTGGGAGGTGGAGGTTGCAGTGAGCCTGGATGGTGCCACTGCACTCCAGCCTGGGTGGCAGAGAGAGACTCTGTCCAAAAAAAACCAAACAAAAACACATGCAATTCACTATCTTAGCCATTTTTATGTGTACAGTATAGTAGTGTTAACTGTATGTACGTTGTTGTATGACAGATCTCTAAAACTTTTTCATGTAGCAAAACTGAAACTCTACCTATTGGATGGCAACTCCCAGAGATCTTTTAAACATTCATCATTTCATGTCATTCACTTGCTTAAATGGCTCCAAAGCCTTCCTTCTTCTCTTTGAATAAAATCCATGCTACTTACCAGGCTTTTGAGATCCCACATGATCTACTCCCCACCTACCTTTTGACCTTAGCTTATTCTACCTTCTCTATGCCCTACAGTGCATCAGGATCTTTGCACTAGCTGTTCTTCTGCCTATAGTGTTCTTTCCTGGCTTTGCATGTGGCTGGCTCCTGGTCATTCAGGTCTCAGGTTAAACCTGAGGCTACTCCCTCAGGTGGGTCTCTGACTACAGATTTAAAATACCTGCCTGGTTTAGCTGCCCATCACCTTACGTTAATTATTCTTCCTAGCACTCATCACCACCTGACATGTTCCTTGTTTGTTGTCTTCCTCTTCCCACCATCAACTGCAATATGAATTCCATTAGAAAAAGGCCTTGTTTTTTGGTATCCCTGGCACCCAGAACAGTGCCTGACATATTGGAAGCCCTCAATGAGTGTATTGGTTTCATTCATGGATGATCAAAAAAGTGAATATGGAATAAACCAGATTTCTGATTGTGTTAGACAAGAAAAGTTTACTA